CCCCAAAACCCCAAAACCCCAAAACCCCAAAACCCCTCTGTGTTGTAAAAATACTGAATCAAATAGATGGATTTCTGTATTCTTTAGACTCACATTTTAGGGCTACTCGACAACGTGAAAAGTGTAGAATTCGGACTTGACAAGTATTTCACAATGACTGATCCAAATGGACAGAAGAAAAGGTCAAGATTGTTTATTCCTCTGATTAGAAGCTGACCAATATAAGAAAAGGAGCTCGCAAAAGTAGTTATGGAAAGTTTATTGCAAGATATTATAAAGATGAAGGCGAAGCCAAGACTTTGATCCATCTGGAAGTTGAAGAGAACCAGAAAGTTTTTGAATCTGAAAATAATACCGTTGTATATCTTCCTATTTATTTTTAGAGCACTAAGACATATTACAAGTTTACTCCTGATTCCATTAAAGAAATCAGCTGAGGTAAGAAAAGCTACCTTCTTTTACTCATTAAAGCCTCTAACATATTCGTTTAGATTACAGAAGCAAAGGCTTTTTCGATGTTCATTTAAGACTCAAAAAACTTCCAGAAAGATTTAGTTGGTACTTAAAGAAAAGAGAAAGACAAATCATTAGAATTAATATATCTAAAATTCTCAGTGAGACTTGGACAGAAAGCGTTCTGATGAGTAGCATTCATGCTAATCTTTGTGTTAGGATCAGAGGTTACCCACCTAAAAGGATAAATCCAAGGTTCAAAAAATTCTTGCTCAAAGGGAACAAAATCAGTGATAAAAGAACCAAGTTTCTTCTTTGTGAGCTTCTTCAAAAAGAATTTAAAAGAAGATATAACAAAAAAGGACCAGGTTTCCAAAGAAATAGATACGATATTGAAGAAGAAATGATGGAAGACCTCCACAAAAATATTGCTATCCTTGAAAGAAGACTCTCAAAGCTCCCTTTTGTAGTTAGTTACTCATTTATGTGCTTGTTTAGCACAAAGAGGATTCATTTCCTTAACTTTTCTCTTCAGCATTACAAAGATACAATAAAATGGTTAAAAGATACCTGAGATTCTTCTCCATGAGAATGGGTTTACAGAGCACTAGAGTACTCAATGAAGAAGATTACTTCTGCAGCTCGTGCAAGGCAAAATAATAAGAAGAACCTTCTCGAGATGATCCAGCAGAACTTCGAGCGAGCTCATACAGAGAGGGGGTCAAACATTATTGATCTCATTGTTGATCCTTCTAAGTTAGTGAAGATTCGGATAGTTTCTATTACACCCTCAAGAATTGAGCTTGATTTCGGGACTCTTTCAATACCGAATAGAGCTATCCGAGACCACTTTTCAAACATTGATAATTTCATCCGTGTGAGATTCCTAAACGAAAACGGTCAGCGAGGCGTCTATTGGGGTGGTTCACAGAATGATTGGATATTATTCCATATAGAAAATATCATGCTTGATGGATTTTGAATTGGAAGTAAAAGATTTAAGTTTCTACATTTCTCCAACTCTCAAGTGAAGAGTCACTCATGTTGGTTCATGAATGAAGTTCCTGGCGAACTTAGCTATGATACCTTTATCAAATCCCTCGGAGATTTCAGTGGGGAGAAGTCCATCTTCAAAGGAATTGCAAGAAGAGGTCAAGCCTTCAGCAGCAGTGTTGCAACACAAAATCTTGATATAAATCAAGAAATAATTGAAGATTCAGACATTGAGAGAAATGGATACACCTTCTCTTATGGATGTGGAGAAATAGACAAAGAGTTCTTCGAAGAGAAAGTTCTCAAACAATACTTCAAACACTCAATGTGCTCAGCAATCCAAATCAGGATGGGAGGTTATAAAGGAGTTCTGCTAGCAACAAATAACCTTTCTGATGGAGTCAAAATAAAAACAAGGAAGAGTATGAACAAATTTGATCTCCCTGAAGGCTATGACGTAGCAAATCTAGAAGTTATTAGACTGGCTACTTATATGAGCGGGTATCTGAATAAACAGATCATACTAGTGATGTGGTCTAATGGTATTGATGAAGAGGTGTTCATCAAAATTCAGAAAAGTTACATTTCAACTTTACTTTCATACTATAATTTAGAGAACTTAGATAAAGATAGTAAATATCCGGTAGAGCTATACCAATCTTTCTGCATTATCGAAAGAAAGTTAAGTGAGATGTACATTAACGGAGAGGATTTCTATCAGGATCCCTTTATAGAACCCATCATCAAAAGAATATGCTTGAACAGGCTTAGAGATGTGAGGAAGAAGTTCAGGATTTTAGATAAATTTAGCTGCAATCTTATAGGAGTTATTGATCCTTATGACTGCCTTGAAGAAGGAGAAGTCTTTTTTCAGTTTAATGAGAGAACAAAATATCGAAATGAATATGAAGCTACGAATACTAAGCTAGTAAATGGGAAAGTCTTGGTGACAAGATCTCCGTGAGTTCACCCGGGTGATCTCAGAATTTTGACTGCTGTTGATGAGCCTAAGCTTTATGACATGGTCAATGTTATTGTGTTTTCAGCCAAAGGAGAAAGGCCAGACCAGCATAAAATGGGTTCTGGAGATCTCGATGGAGATATCTATTGGATAAACTGGAGATTAGAGTTTGTATACAACTTTCTTGAAAAAAAGCCATACATTGATGATCCTGAATTATTAGATCAAATTCTTGAACCAAAGTCGATGATCGTTCAGCCATCTAGAACTAATACATCGATTAGTCGAGAAAAGTGCATTAATGCATTTCTTGACTATCTTCGAAAAGATATACTAGGCCAGATAGCATCTTTACATCTCAGAGTAGGTGACCTTGAAAGAGATAATCTTGAGAAGCAAGATTGTAAAATCTTAGCCAAAATGCATTGAATAGCTGTAGACAGTGCTAAAAATGATTACCAAATTTCTATTGCAGAATTTATGAAACTAAAATTGGAATATGATTTTGTATCTGATTTCATGTTCACAGATCGTGAGCCACCTCATGACAAAGTAGTAATCCCTTCCCCAGGTATCTTAGGCATCCTCCATCGCGAAATCAAAATCGATGTCAACAACGAAGAGCTTCATGAACTAGAATATAAGACAAAGATACTGAAGGAATACCCATTAAGTCAGAAATTTTTTGAGGATGATGATATTTGCAAGCATTTGGCATTTTTGTATCTGAGAGTTGTAGTGCCTTATAATTCTTTTGTCAAAAATTTGTTGCTTGAGAATAACATTGTCTCTGAAGGTGATTTATTTAATTCTACCTGTGAATTCTCAAACTTAGCCTCATCAAGAGATGATTCTGTCCAAATTCATCAGAGTCTTTCAATATTATTTGAGAAAGTAAAAGAAGAGTACAAGCAAATCATCAAGAACTACCAACTCAAGAATTTTATTACCATCGGTGCTGGAGAGGTAAGCTCATCAATAATATATTTTATTAGGTAAAACAACAAGATATTGCATTTTTCGAAATACACCCCAAACTGAGCTTTGCTCTAAAATTCCTCGCCTATTTCAATCACTCTCACTACTTCCAAGCAAAAACAGCCTTCAACAACCCAGATTTCGACTACTTCTGGCTCCTCTACTGCCAAGAAACTGTCGAACCAGTCACCCCAATCTCCTATAAAGACTACAAAAAAATAGCCAAATCCACTTACAACGAAGAAGACGAGCTCTCATTAGTTCTTTCTCAATCCCAAATATTCTCATCATGGTGGCTTCTCACCTCATAATCAATTTCAAAATTTCAACAAATTTTACATGAGGAGGGGTTTTGGGGTTTTGGGGTTTTGGGGTTTTGGGGTTTTGGGG